CAGGCCAGCAATAAAATTGTTGGAATAATTGTTGCTGGTCTGCTACGAGCAGGCCAGTAATAAAATTGTTGCAATAATTGTTGCTGATCAGCTCGACACAATCTGGTAATATGGCCCAGTTAAAATTTTTAGCCTGTTAAAATTTTTTTTAGGTTGCTAAAAGATCTTAGCTTGATTTTTTTTAGGTTGCTAAAAGATCTTAGCCTGCTATAATAAATCAGGCTAAAATGATTCTCTTTTTGGCAAGCTAAAAAGAGAATCTTACTTGCCAAAAAGAGAATCTTATGCTTGTAATTTAAATTTAAATTAAAGAAATGTTATTAACTTTTTGTGGATGTAGGTCTTTTGTTGAAGTCCGAACCACGTATATTTTTATGTTTGTGATGTTTTATCTTTGTACAATGTGTGTCGCTATGTGCGTATGTGTGTGTATATATATTATTTTAAATAAAGAGTAAAATAAAAAAAATTAAATATAATTTAATAGATATAAATATAAAGTTAATATAGTTTATAAATAAAAAATTAAAAAAAAAGTTAAAAAGCCCCGGGCCTAACCCGGCCCGCTTCTAGACGAGTCGTTGGTCGGGCCGGGTTCAATCCTAAACTCGACATCAGAGAAATAGATCCGATCAACTCTAATAGGAACGGGCGCAGATAGACCATGCCCGACCTTGAACGGGTCAGGTCACAGGCCTGTACCGGCACGGCCCCTTCCCGCCCCTAACTTTGGTGCAAAGGGACGGTCCCATAAACAAGAGGAAATAATTTCTTAGTACATTAGTCGACAAGAAATAGTTGCTTAAATCATAAGTAACCAAATCTCATAGCACTGTATCTAATATATTGTGGTAGTCTGATAAAAGAGCATCGAGATCAATACACTAAAAAAAAGGAAAAACAAAAAGAAGATGTCGATGACTGACGAGCCAAGCGCAGATTCGTGCATACAGTTTGCTGATCGCCTTGGTCTCCAGGCTGCAGCCAAGGGCTCCCAACTTTGTTTTCTCGCCGCTTTCGATTCGAGCTGCACTCAGCCTCGCAGCGGTTGGGTCCAAGGCTGAGACCCTCAACCAATTCCTCTCGTTCTTGGGTTCGTCCACAGTGGATGACCTCAGCTCGACCGCTGCTAGGCTCTTGGGATCGGTTCGGTCGAGTCGGGCCGGTGATGGTGAAGGATCCCGGTTGTCGTTTGTGAACGGGATTTGGGTTGACGGGTCAACGCCTCTGAAGAGCTCGTTTCAGGAGACTGCGGTGTCTGTGTATGAGGCTGTTGCTGAATCCGTCGACTTCCAGAACAAGGCAAAGCGAACTTCCCTTATTTTGATTTTAGCCCATTGAGTTTTGTGATTAGTATTTCGATTACTTTCTTTTATTATGCTTCATGCCAACACAGGGTATTGTGGAATTGGGGGTTAATTTCACGATACCCGCTGAGTTTTGGTGGGTTTTGCGCATAAACCCCTTGAACTTTTTATCTCACAGACCCGATCGAGGAAACTTTTCTCACCGCCCTTCCTAGCTGTAGTTGGTAAATAGCTAAACTTTCTTTTAGAGAAAAATCCTCAACAAGAGGATAGGCATACGAGGCAAATGCCTAAATTGGGGAATTTTTCTCTCGAGCACATTTTTTTTATTCACCAATTATGAGAAAAGTTTGAAGTTCTAGAGGAGGAGGTTGTGAGATAAAAAGTGTTCAGAGGGTTATGTGCAAGGCCGCCGCAAAGTTATATGCAAAACTCCCCAAAGCTGAGTTGGTTTTACGGATTAACCCTTTTATTTTTCTGCTCTTGCTTCTAGCCCCTTAAGGTTCTAGCCCCTTAAGGTTGTGATTTGCATTTGGAAAACCTCTTTTGAGTCGTTCATTTAGACATATTTTTGCCGAATTAGGTACATGTGTATTGATTTTCTGCTGGCTTGGATGCAAGACACTTAATGTTAGAAGCTCTTCATAATTATTCTCGTTCATTGATCAAGTCCCATTTTAATCGCTCTGTACTCCAGTCTCCCTCCCTCTTAAATCAAATCTCTCAGCAAAAAGTTTTATTTAATCCAAGTTTTCACCTTGTCCGAAAATTAACCACAAAATCAAAAGAAGCTAAACGTACACGTATACATGCACACCACACACTGAAATTTCCCCGTTATGCTCCCAGCAGCCACAAGTAATATACCATATGCATACAAAAACCAGATTAATTACACCGATAATTTTTGTCTTCCAACTAATTAGTATGTCTTCACAAGAGATTCACAAAAACACACAAAAGATAACATTGAACAATACAGAACATTCTAGTTTTCTGGTAATGATTTCAGTTTTTCCGTGGTTTGCCAGCTTTTAGTTTTCAAGACAAGAGAACAGGGACAATTTTTATACTGGATATTTTAGCAATATTCTACTGTTTCTGCCAGTGTATGTAGAATTTATATGACCAAAGTGTAATTTCCTTAAATGTCTCGTATCGAAATATAATTACCTAATAACAAATTTTCTTTCTGTTCCAAGTGGAACTAACTTTAATCTGGCATCATCTACTTATCCATTTTATTGGTACACAGAAGTTTAATCGTAATACACCTAAGCACCAACTTACAGTCTTATATTATTTTCTATTTTTTGTTCAATTTTCCACAAATTTAGCACTAATTCTAGCGATGATGGATATAGGCTCCTCAAGTGGCAATGGAAGTGAATGCTTGGGTTGAAAAAATAACCAATGGAATGGTTAAAAATCTTCTCCCTAATGGTTCTGTCAATGCTTGCACAAGGGTTATTCTCGCCAATGCACTCTATTTCCGAGGGATTTGGGCTGAAAATTTTGACAAATCCAAAACTATGGACAACAAATTTCATCTCCTTGATGGCAGCGTAGTTCAAGCTCCCTTTATGACTAGCAGAAAGAAACAATATATCTCTAGTTATAAAGGCTTCAAAGTACTTAAGCTGCCGTACTCGAAAGACCAAGAAAACAGAAGCTTTTCCTTGCTTGTTTTTCTTCCAAACAAAATAAATGGATTCCAAAATCTTATAGAGATGGCCCTCGCCGATCCTACCTTCTTTGATCGCCATGTTCCGAGAGAAAAGAGTGGGGTTGGCAACTTCATGATTCCTAAGTTTAAAATCTCATCCGGGTTCGAAGCATCAAGGGTTCTGAAGAGTCTAGGATTGGAACTACCCTTTTCAGAGCAAGCAGATTTCACCGAGATGTTGGCAGATTCGTCCTCAAAATTATGTGTTTCGAGCGTGTATCACAAGGTTTCCATCGAAGTTGAAGAGGAAGGCACCACTGCAGCTGCAGCAACTGGGGTGTTAATGATGAAATGTTGTTATATTCCACCAGTAGACTTTGTCGCAGATCATCCATTCATGTTTGCGATCAGAGAAGATGAGACTGGAGCTTTGCTATTCTTAGGGCATGTGGCTAATCCTATGGTGGAAACTTCTATGTAATAGAACGAAAGAGAAGTTAGAATATATATCAACTTAATGGAGTGAAGAACAAGTCGAAATATCATGATGGTAATAGATATTGGAATAAAGTGATTTAATCTAGCTAATATATCTGTGTTGAGGCGTGATCTTTAATTAAATCAGACCGAATCGCATATCCTACGTGCATTGGATGTGCATCAATAAAATTATCGACTTAACAGGTATGCCGCCATCATATTATACGGTAAAAATGAAGCATATATTTCAGTATTCATCTTGTTCTTTCTGAGGAAATTTCAAATTCATTAGGAGCTGCAACCAATATCTATTACACAATGCTAAAGCAAAGTCGATAATGGTTATATGAGCAGAGAGGGTCAAACTACAAACAGAACTAATTGTTCAAGTCCTCACTTCGGCATGCAGGATTGAGTATACTACTTCTTGGCATCCTTCTTGTCATCCTTCTTGTCATCCTTCTTCTCTTCTTTAGCTGGTCCGACTGAGAGTATATCAATTTTCCCTATTTTCTTCAGCTTTTTCGCGATTGCCACCGTATCCATTTCTCCGATGATGGTCATCTTCTGCTCCTTCAGATCCGCAGCTATTGAGTCGATGCCTATAAAATTAAAAAAAAAGCATTCTCGTCGTAATTGAGTTACATATGATGCAGCTTGCGCTGGTCAACATGTCAGATAATTAATCACGAGAAATGCTGGAAGATCGATATCTGGTTAATTCACGTTTTTAATTGTCAATATGCATGGATACACTTCCTCAATCATAATCATTCAGTGATATCTAGACAGTTGTGATTTATTCATGACATAACCAAATTAAACTCCAAGAATTGCATTCACTAACACTTTTTATTCAAGATAAAGCGTAACCACGGATTAAATGATTAGATGTGAAGAAGTGGTATATTAGCCCTATCATTACGTTGGGGGTCAATAGCTTATCCGTATTACGTACTAATTTCATATTGCTTTGATACTACAAGAGTAAAAACATTTTCCAAATTAGAGATACATGGGCCATGGTTCCTATTTATGAGGAAGAATTGCACATGTTGGTAATAATATCTTACAGTGCCAAACTAATATGAAACAAAAAAGTATAACTAGCATTACTTAAAACACGATTAAAAACTCAGTTCTATCAACCGATTAAAGAGATGGGTTTAGGTATTAGTTACACCAAAAAACTAGGTAATACTTGTAATTAGTATATAAGCTCAATGTGTTTCTCAAACTTTTTTCTCGTGAAGTTCATCTAGAACTTAGTTCACTTTAAATTTAGTTCGTATACGAAATTACCGCGGAAGGATTGGATTGACTCCAACTGAATTACGAAAATAATTAACAATGCGACTGAAATCATAAAGTAATTAATAAAAAAAAAGTTGCAGTTTGAGAGTAAAATCAAAACTGAAGTCGACTTGCAAACTTTTTCTCCTTCAAAAACTCTAGGTCTACTTCTACTTGCATTTGTTAAGAGAGAAATAAAAGAAGAAAATGTTTATCTGTCCCGTTTCAATTCTTTATGATTAAGACTCTAAACCGTCTGGTTGTGTTATTAGTTCCTATGAATATATAATTAGTCAAATACATCATGAACACTACACAAACAACAAAATTCCAGGGAAAAAAAATCATGGTCTGTTTCGAATATAATTATCATAGTACCTACTCTAAATAGTTAAATTAAAGTTTGGCAGCTTGCAGAATTCATACTCTTAAACACTTTCCGGAAGTTTCCATTACGAAAAATTGAAATTTTCAATTAAAAAATTAGAGGTTATAAAAAGCGAAAGATAAATACCATAGATATCAGCTGCAGCTTCTATTGCTTTCTGCTTGGTCTTCTCATCATTCATGGCCAGAATTTTGAGAACCACTTTTTGCTGCTTAACAGCAAAAGAAAACATAATTAGCCAACACAAAAGGAGCTAAAGTGCCAAAAACATGAGAAAGGGGATTTAAAAAAAAAATAGAATGTATTGAATTTACATACTTGCACCATCTCTAGAGGCAGAATAAAGAGAGGTAAAATAACCGCAAAAAATGGATGGAAAATAGAGAGTCGGTAAGCTAGAACTACGAACAGGTACCAAATAGGCAAATATAGGGGCACTGTTCTGTTACTCCTAAGGAGAACTTTAGGTACACTTTTAATTAACTTAATAAACAAAATCATCGCTTGGGCTGTTAAGGTTTTATGACGAAGATGGAAGGCTTTCAGTTAAGATTAGCGTTCTGGAGTTACAGCTTAACACAGACAATGATTGCTTTGCCCTCGTAGAGTCAATGGTCAACATTTCCAATGGAAGTCACTTTCCAATGGTGAAGGAAGGGGATGAAGCTGGCTTAGTAGTGTAAGGTTAGGGTCCGTTTGGATCGAGTATTTTGAAGGGGAAAGAAGGGGAAAAGCTGTCAATTTGTCAGCTTTTTGGCAGCTTTCTCCCAAAATCGCCATAGAGGCGATTTTAGAGGAAAGCTGTCAAAAAGCTGACAAATTGACAGTTTTCCTCCTCTTTTTCCCTTCAAAATATCTGATCCAAACAGCCCCTTAGCTTCATCGTGTTTATAAGAGGTGATTTTGGGGGGAAACTGTTAAAAAGCTGATAAATTGACAGCTTTCCCCCTCATTTCCCCTTCAAAATACCTGATCCAAACAGCCCCTTAGCTTCATCGTGCTGACCAAGGGCCGTCGTTTCCTGTTTGGTTAATGTTGTTGAGCTGCCTGGCCTACTTAATTTTTAGCAATGGCAACTTTACAATGGTTTAAGTTAGTCAGAAATATGATATGAAAAGTATATTGGCTATATTTAAATTGGATTTTTTTTGGATGTTTGTTCCTTAAATCTTTCCCAATGCGTATGCTCTGCTATGGTTGTTCCTAATTGGAGAGATTACATTGCAATTTACAAGACTTTTTATTCTATTTAAACCTTTTGTTGTTGTTTGGGGATTATTAATTTATTCGGAAGACTAATTGTGTAACTTATCAGATTTAGGGGGAGTTAATAGAAATTTCAATAGTGTGAGAACTAATTTCAAAATAATAAAGACATGACGGGCTAATATTGACGATAAAGCTACTTTGATGCAAAAAGACAAACATGTTTATCCAAAAAAAAAAATCTTTCTTCCCAAACTTAATTTCCTTTTTCCGAAAAAAGAAACAATTCGTTGGAGATATTAGGAATTTGTATCTTGTGTTGTTTCGGTGATATCTGTCCTAAACCATGAAGGTCATAGGTCTGAGCATGAGTTGTTGTGCGTGGAAGCCAATTGTCGTGTTTCGAGGAATCAAACTAAACCCTGAGAGAGAATACCAAACGATGCAAAATAACGGTAGAAACACAAATAACTAATTTTTGCGTGGTTCGGCAAGTTGCGTACGTTCACGGGGCAATGGGGGATGAGTTTTTCACTAATAGAGAAGAAGAGTACAAACTGAGATTACAAATCACTCGAACAAACCAACTAATTTCACCAACAAATCTCTAATTCTCTCCAAACAAAACCCTAACTAATAGCTTAGAAAATACATCTTTTTTGTGCTCCAAATATCCCCAATTCAAGCCTTTGACTGCGTCAAAGAAACCCTAAAATGTGTTGGTATTTATACCATGTTAGTTCTCATGTTATGAGCCTATATCTTCTAATCTTATTTTGATGATTACAAACAATTCCTAATATTGTTTGTCTAGTGTTTATGTTTCTTATTAGGTATTCTAGACAAACAATGAGTTGGAGGATGGATGGAATTGCGCATTCACGATCATATCCAATGGAGGTTGGCGGAGTAGTGGTTGAAGCATTGCATTCATGTTAAAGATCCAAGTCAAGCTTCATCCACAAGTGTACCAAGATAGAGCTTCGTTGAAGATCATCAAGCTTGGGTAATTTAGTTTAGGTTTTATATTATGTGTGTTAGTACTTTAAGCTCAATTATATTCACACATACACGTTTTGGTTTTTGTATATATATAGTTATATATATACATATATGTTTTTGTTTGATTTTTTAGATATGAAACAAATATATATTCATATGTTTCATATTCTATCATATTTGAAAATATATTGTGTTCTTAGTTTATGGACTTGATAATATGTTTTTATATCTTTTCCTAAGTCTATAAAGCCATACAAAAGTTTCCAAAAGTTTGTTTATGTCAAATGTCAAAAACATGTATGTTTACTTTTCATGTTTTGGACTAATTTTATAAAATGATGAGTTTTCACTATTGGGGAATGCAATTCCAAAAATTCTTTTTATAACATGTTTATTATCATGTTTATAAACATTTCCCAAAGTTTCATAATTTTTGGAATTTATTTGTTATTTTTAAAGGCACTTTAAAATCAGATTTTTAGCATGTACAGTGCCTGTGCACGTTTATAAGTCGACTTATCAGAGTTGACAAGTCGACTTATGAAATGCTCTGGAATGTGCAAAAACTCTCTGCCAAGTCGACTTATTCGAACTGTTAAGTCGACTTAGATCTGTTTTTGTGTGGGTTTTTGGTCATTTCCTTGGGGTTTTGGCTGATGTCTTGGGTTGTTATAAATACCCCATTGCATTTACCTCTCCCAAAAACTAAGAGAATTGTTTAAACAAGTTTAAGGGTGTTTTGTGTTTGTTTAAAAGAGTGTTTAAGAGTTTTGTTTGTGAAGCAAATTTCACAAGAGCAAGTGGAGATCATCCTTTGGTGTTTGAGCATTCACTCTTCTCCCTCTCTCCTGTCATCTATAGAGAAGTTTCCTTAAACTCAATTCTAGCCTTTTATAAGTTTGCTCTTAATTTCATAAGCTAGATTTCATATTGAGTTTATATTGTTTTATCTCTTTGATCACACACAACCTATTGAGCTTATTGTATTTTCATACTTAGTATAATTTGGGTTGTGGGATTGTGTGACTTAGAGTGTGAGCCTACATTGTGTTCTCATCTATTGTAGAGAATAATTTATTTGTATTGAGACAAATTGTGGGGATTCATTTTGTATTACACTAGTACACCAAGAGGAGTGTGTGGTGAGAGACGGGGTTGTCCCAAGAGGAGTGGGGTAGGTGATAATGCCTAGAGAGAAGTTATAATTCCTAACACTTGAGGGAGACACGGGCTAGAGACCAACACTTGAGGTGGTAGTTAGTGTAGTTACATTGTGAGTGATTGTAAAGTTTTCGGTTAGCTAGAAAATCGTATTGTGAGGTGTAAACGTTTTTCGGGTAAGCGTAGAAAACCCGGTGTGATAGTGGAGATCTCCTCGAGGTGAGGAGTGGGGACGTAGGTCAGGGGACCGAACCTCGTGAATATATCTTTTGTTTGTGATTGCTTTGGCGTTCATCTATATTCGTGCTTATTGTTTATATCGCCTTCGTCAATTGCTTGTTTATATTGTCCACTATATTGTTTCACCCTTGTTTATATTTGTATATCCTTGCATATATATCTTGTCATATATCATACTTGCTAGGATATTTGTTAATTAGTTTTTAATTGGCATAAATCGGATTAGATTAGCATAAATCCTATTCACCCCCCTCTAGGGTTCCTTCCTAGCGGCATTAGGGTACTTTCATACCAAACACCAAATTAATTTAGAACAGTAAACAACTCAACATGGGCCTGACCCGACTAGCGGTCGACCGCCACAAAGCTCGCGGTCGATCGCGATCAAACGACAGTACCAGAAAAATCCTACAGGGTATGACGGTCGACCGCGGTGGTCGACCGTGGTGGTCGACCGCGGTGGGCGACGAAAAATCCTACAGGGTATGACGGTCGACCGCGGTGGTCGACCGTGGTGGTCGACCGCGGTGGTCGACCGCACCAAGTCCAGACTTGATTCTAGGGCTGTGCACGAATTCGGTCGACCGGCCTTACACCGTGATCGATCGAAAAACTCCAAAACTATCCCCCCTGTGTCCAAAACCTGTTCTTCACTAAATCTTTCGACGATTCTATAATTCTCCATCTCAGCGAAGTTTTTTCAAAACTGAGCATACACCAAAATATTCAAATGTCCCACTTGTTGCGCCCAGTACGAAGTGAACCAAATTCACGATAACGGACTCAATCCACAACAAGTCGAGACCCAAATAAGAATGTGATCACTCTGCAAAGTCGGTATTAACTCATCAAATCGGCTGTATCATAAAATGACTGCCTACATATCTTCTTGCCCAAGGAATCAAGCATTCACGTAATTCACCAAATGGCCTCCAAAGACCCTCAATCCAATAGAAGAGTTCTCAACTCTTCACCAACAAATCTGTGGCTGATAGCTCTCCCAATGGCCTCAAAGTGAAACAAACCAAACACCTCCACCTGAGGTAAACCAACGGCCATATCCAAATCCGAACTATATCCACCACATGTACTCAAATCAACCAACTCATCATCTGCATCCACATTAATATGATCCCCAAACCGTGTCACCTCAGCTAGAATCCCAAACGATGTAGTATGATCTGGAGTATGTGCAGTAATCTCCATCCAACATGGAGTAATCTCCACCCATCACTCTCTACCTGTTGTGATATCCCAACAATCTGTCCAATACTCTCCACCTGCCAAGAGTTAAATATGACATACCTGCTCAAAACAAAATCAGAAGCTAATACCTGATAATCAAATACGCATCGGAATCTCAAATGTACAATTGGATCAAATCTTACATCCTCGATGTGACCATATGATGGGCAACCAAACATCTGATATAACCCAAAATCTGAAACAGCTCCACCATATCCAAATACACGAAACGCAGCAGTCGACAACCTATGAATAAGATGACACCAATATGTTAAAGCTCTAACACCAAAACCAATGCTCGACATCAACCGTCGATCCTCCTCCAGCAAGGAACGACTCATTAAAACTGTCATCTCATCTTGCTGCCCTAAGATTTTCTCTCCAATGAAGTGTCTCCAATTGCATTGAGCTCGGCACGAATACAGAAAACGGATCCCTCTTGTACTTATCACTAAAATAAGAACGGAGTACCTCCATCCTCTTGTCTTTCTCACACTTCTTCAACATGTTGTAGACTACTAGGATTTCATTCAAACGAGACTTGGTTTCAACCCAAACATGTCTAGAACAGTCATCAACTAAGGAAATCAAATATCTATTACCTCCCAATGATACCTCCTTGTAAGGCCCCCAAATGCCTGAATGAACACCATCTAGAAGATCCTTTGCTCGGTGAATAGAAGTGTCAAACTTCACCTCGATCTTCTTGCTCATACCAATGTGCTCACAAGACATCAAATTGTAGGTCCAAGCACCTCTCCATAAACCAAAATTGTTCGTGTCATTAAACTTCTTCACATCTATTTTCATAGAGTGGATATTTAAACTTTGGACGATCTTTACGCCGTAAGTACCCTCTATAACTCCTTCTTTCTCGGTCATCTTTCTCAAAGCACTAACAAACCAATGCGGAACAAATGAAGAATAGATCCAAATTGAAAAAGAGAGATTTTTACCTCTAACTAAAACTCTAACAAGGGCCTCCAAAAGATCTCACCCCCACACGACGGTAGACAAATATCCACAATAGTAAAAACCTCATATTTATCACCAACTGAAGCCCTAGATGAACTTTCAAAGTGATCAGTTCTTCCAACTAGCCCAAACGTAGCCCAAGCTCTGATACCATTTGTTGTGCGTGGAAGCCAATTGTTGTGCTTCGAAGAACCAAACCAAACGCCGAGAGAGAAGACCAAACAATGCAAAATAACGACACAAACACAAACAACCAATTTTTACGTGGTTTGGCAAGTTGTCTACATCTACGGGGCAAAGGGGATGAATTTTTTACTAATAGAGAAGAAGATTACAAACTGAGATTACAAATCACTCAAACAAACCAACTAATCTCACCAAGAAATATATAATTCTCTCCAAACAAAACCATAACCAATAGCTCAAAAAATACATGTTTTTTGTGCTCCAAATATCCTCAATTCAAGCCTTTGACTGCGCCAAAGAAAGCCTAAAACGTGTTGGTATTTATACCAAATACCAAACAAATTCAGAACAGGAAACAACTCAACATGGGCCTGACCCGACTGGCGGTCGACTGCCACAAAGCTCACGGTCGACCTGACCCGACTGGCGGTCGACTGCCACAAAGCTCACGGTCGACCGCGATCAAACGACAAAACCAGAAAAATCCTACAGGGTATGGCAGTCAACCGCGACGGTCGACCGCATCAAGTCCAGACTCGATTCTAGGATCTGTGCACAAATTCGATCGACCGACCTTGCATCACGATCGACCGAACAACTCCAAAACTGTTTCCCCTGTGTCCAAAACCTATTTTTTGCCAAATCTTTCACCGATTCTCCATGAGTCTCTTCTTCAAAATCTGATAATTGTATACTTTTCATTAGGTTTGGCCAGTCTAATAATTGGAAGAAAGAATTTAATAAAAGGTAGTATAAGAAAAATATAACTCTAGAACTAGATCTCTTATTTATGTATAACAAAAAATGACATGATAACTTCATACTTTTCATCAGGTTTGCCAGTATTATAACTGGAAGAAAGAATTCAATGAACGATATTTTTCTCAACGGACGGTATTTTTAAGAGAAATATAACTCTAGAATCAGATCCCTTCTTTATATACAATAAGAGATTGGTGGTTCTCCTAAATACACAAAAAAACTAATGTAGGCATCGAAAATTGCCTATAGGTCTCCATGAACAGCTCAGTGTTAAGGAACGACGATGAACGTCACTATCCGGTTCACAGGAGTTCGATTGATGTCGGTGAATGCTTGAAGTGAATCGACGAACTACGTGAACTAACAGAATTTCGGAATAACGAAGGCACAGACTAATCAGGAGCCTCGCGATGTTTACAAAAGGAACAATGCCCTTCGTGTCTTATTCATTCTACAGATGATCCAGCCATCGGAGCTGATAGAACTCCTCGTCGGCTTTCCAACGCACTTCGAACCATTCAAATCCGAGTTCGGATGAAGAATTTACAGCGAAAGCGGACAAATGGGCACAACAGTGTGTCTCGGACCAACGAGACACCCTAAGGTGTCTCGGCTAAGGCCGAGACACCCTAGGGTGTCTCGGCTCAGGTTGAGACATTCTGGGGTGTCTCCAACGCAGAAAAAGGTCTTTATGCGGTTTTAACCTCCCGAAACCTCCTGGAGCCTATAAATACAGCCCCGGGTCCTCACTTTTTTCGGATCTGGAGTTTTGGAGAATTGGCGAAGCCCTGCCGGATTGAAGAGTGATCGAGTTCTTCAACGCGAGAGATCGAGAGTCGTCAGATCTGCATCACCCGCATCTGATCCTTAGTATTATCCCGTTGTGGTAATTCTAAGAAGAGCAATTATCTCACTGTTGTCGAGATAAGCGCTTCTACTTCTAGATTCCTTCACGGATCGACGAAGTTGTGGACCTGATCTGATCGCCAGGTAGTCCACGGATATCTACGTCCCCGTCACCGGCTAAAGACCCACGCAAGCAAGAAACGACGAACGGATCTTGTGTTATTTTCGAAAAGTTGTAATCTTTCATTTTCGTTATTCTTTTTTTATTGAATATTTTGAATTCTTTGTAAGCGATCCAGATTATAATGAATTCAACAACGAAGGCAACTTTTACCGAAAACAACTAACATGTGTCATCTTAATGCATTACATGTGTTATATCAAAAAATAGTTATGTGTCCTCTTATCCTATCAGAAGATGGCATGTAGAAACATAATATTATCTTCACTTAATTCTTATTGAGTCAAAACTATCCATAAATTAAGAAATTGATGGTTCTCCTAAATACGCAAAAACTTATGTGTGTCATCTAAATGCATAACATGTGTCATATTAAAAAATAAGATATGTCCTTCTATCAGAAGATGACATATAGACACATAATATTATCTTCACATAATGAAGAATTCTTATCAAATCAAAACTATCCATAATTAAAAAATTAATAATCAAATATTTAATAATCGTAATCAGGTTACTATAGCTACATGAAAAACAAGGCTATGTGATTTACGTGCCCAATTCCTTTAATAAAGAAATTTTATCCCTAGATCATCCTTTCCTATTCAAATTATGAATAGGTGGCTCAAATCTTTTTCTTAAAATAGGATTCAAGATATTTGGCATAGTCGTTGTGGGTCCTAATTAGGCTGGAGAATTTTGTCAGCCTAGTAAATGGCCCCAAACAAACACGGTAGCCGCTGAGTTTTGCTATCATAAAAAAAGTAGTTGATTTGAATTTTGAAAGCGGTTTGACAAATTTTTGCCACGTGTCAGGTAACATTTTCATGGGGTAAGAGTTTTTAGTAATAGACTAGTTTCAGGCCCGTGCGATGCACGGATTTGTTTAATATATAAAAATTAATGTAGCAAAAGAATGCAAAGTAAAACAGTAATAATGTATAAGTAGTCAGAAATGATACAACCTAAGTTGCATATATAGTTTAAAAAATTAGAAAGTTTGGAAAACTTGAATCAGTTTAAGATCATATATAGTTTGAAAAACGTAATTGTGTAAACATGGTATTCAGAAATATGGTGGGAGTTATTTTATTATTTAGAAGATGGAAAAAATTCAAAATTAAAGTAAAATGTCAAAAATGTACCAAAAATAGGTAAACTTAAAAAAATTGAAAAAATGAAAGGTTTGGAAAAATGTAAACATGAGAAAATAATTTTTGAACATTTTTTGCAAGTCATATCAATATTTAAGCCGTTATAACTTTCCAAAAAAATTGGTAAAATAAAAGTGTAATGTTAAAAAATAAAGAAAATATAATATCTATCATATAAGGGGTGTATGACATCCACCTGACGAAAATAAGAGACAATGTAATACCTAAATCAAATAAAATCAGTGTAAAAATTGTATATTATTAAGATTTAAGAACATCATCAAACCATAAGAATACGGCATAAGGAGTACTCAATTAGTTAAATAGAATGTAACTTTCACATACTCTATATAAACATAAGAAAGAACAAAAATATTAAAGTGAAATGCATTGCCATTGGAGAAAAATAACAAAACACAATATAAGAGAAATACATTCTAGTAAGATTATATTGAATTCATCACTTACCAATAGTAAAGATAAACAAAGAAACAAACAGATCTGAAATAGAAAAATATAATTATATAGAAAGAAAAAAAATATATACTTGTATTCAATAAGATACATGAATTAAAAAAATAAAATTTTAGTTTGTCAAACATACACCCAAGCATGCACCACTACATACACATATTACAGGACACACTCAGATAGAGCTAACAAATTTATCCAAAACTTAAAATCACATTAGAATAATTTCATGCTATGAATTAGCCGAATAATAACTACTGACTTTTATGTTCTCAAGCATATAGTGTCTTATAACCTTACAATTCGAAACATTGGTTAAAAAATTCAAGGAAGATTCTTAATATTACTAATTTCATAATACTTGATACAATGTTACAATCAAAATTTGGGCAACCTTAAAAAAAGTTTATGTAAATGTAGTGATATTTCATTCAGCAACCAAAAAATTATATTATTTTAAATGCAATTTTATATAATATTCACAAACTACTCTTAGATGTTCACAAATCTACTAATTAATCTCAAACTACTACAAAATTAATTCTCTTTTTCAAAGACTAAGAAATATATTTTACAATCTAATTTTAGCAATAATTAGAATCTTAATTTTTATTAGCAAGTCAAAGGAAGAGCACATTAAACTTGATAGAGGCAAAAACTCAAAACACCTAAAACACCCAAAATGAACTCACGTTCCCATCAGCACCGTCGTGGCCATTATCATGACCACAAACTTCTTACGCACCTTGTAATGCTCTCTCAAAATCCTTCAAGAGCTCTATCGCCTCATCCTGCACCAAATTAGGATTCTCAAGAATAATAATGAGAGCAGAAAAAATTTTCAAAGAGGGAGAACAGAACGGTGTGAGAAATCCCTCAATCTAAGCCTCTTTTTGGCCCTCGGTCTTCGTCACCTACGAAATTGACAATAATAATGTTTAGCCCCTACTTTTAGGATAACAATAATAAAGGATACAAAAGAAATTTACAGGTAAGGATAGCATACCACATCAACAAGGGAACCAATACAGACTGTAAAGAAGCCATCCCCAAGACCAGATAAAAGATGGGTAAAGACATTGTCAGAGAAGCCGGGAATTTTCAATATGGTCTGTGCAAATCACAAAAATTACGGAGCAAATAAGAGACAACATTAAAATGATACAAAAATATCCAATGAGAATCTTCTTTGATGACTGGAATATAAACCTATTGCACTTGGTCATAACTTGCCAATTCTACAGCATTTATTATAGCATTACGTGCAACATTAGGACCAATCCCAGTCCACAGAGCACAAACTCCTTCCTAACATTTTGAAATCTTTGACAACTTCAGTAAAATAGCATGACTGAGAAAAGGTAGAATTAATTGGAGTTCAATATAAAACCTGTTTGACTATAGTAGAGTAAGCATTCAGAGCTCCTGAATAACGTCTTGGTACACCCGCTAGAAGCTTGCCTTCAGCTTGAAGTCGTACTTTCACCAAATCGGTTGGATTAACGACTGTTATTGCTATAGCACATATTTGAAAATTATAGCACAAACATGTTATAAAATTGTTAGGAGTAGCCCAAAGAAGAAATCTTACCTTAGAAATTAAAAAAACTCAAATGTAAAATGGTCAAACAGATGTAGTTTAACTGACATGGACATTATGAATTAAACTATAAAATAAACCTAGATCTACCAGTTGTAAGGCCAACAAGTATTTTCTTGGTTAGAGGAATATCTCCAACGAAATTCTCACCAACATACAAGGATTTAACCTAACAAAAGAGCTAACAACTGACAAATAAGGAATATAAATATCAAGCAAATTCCCATTTGATAAACAGTATAAACTTACTGGCTCATACAGTCTAATCCGTAGGCCTCCAAATACACATTGACAATGTAATCCTGGCACGATACCTTTCCAAAGTGCTGTCGGGCCTTCTTTTCTAGCAATTGTAGATACAGTGCCTAACATGCCTCTGTATTTTGGTAAAGTCTCTACATCTTCTTAAACCGCTTTCTTTTGAAGCTGAAGCCTGACTTTTGCAGTGTCCAAAGGAATGGTGCAAACTTGCACATGAATTTATTCAAAAATCTACTAATTAATCTCAAACTACTACAAAACTAATTCTCTTATTCAAAAACTAAGAAATATATTTTACAACCTAATTTCAGCAATAATTAGAATCTAAGTTTTTTAAGCAAGTTACAGGAAGAGTACATTAAACTTAATAGAGGCAAAAACTCAAAACACCTCGCACTTGAAAATAATAACACAAAAATAGCCTCACACTTGGAAAACCAAAGGAAATGTTCTCACAATTGGAAAAACCAAACCAATGCCCACACATTTGGGAAAACCCCAAACAAAAAAAGAAAAAAAAAACTAACAAATAACCCATTTTCAAGTCAAGTGCGCGTTGCGTGCACCAAGATACTACTGATACTATGTGGCAATTCTAAAAAGATAACAAAAGAATCATATCAATTATCAAATTATCAATCCGCTTCTCTACACAAGACAACAAAGTTTTGCTCTATGAAAAGCCATCATCATCAAACTGAGTAGGCCTCCAAATACACATTGACGATGTAATCCTGGCACAATACCCTTCCAAAGTATTGCCAAGCCTTCTTCTCTAGCAATTGTAGATACAGTGCCTAACATGCCTCTGTATTTTGGTAAAGTCTCTACATCTTCTTAAACCGCTTTCTTTTGAAGCTGAAGCCTGACTTTTGCAGTGTCCAAAGGAATGGTGCAAACTTGCACATGAATTTATTCAAAAATCTACTAATTAATCTCAAACTACTACAAAACTAATTCTCTTATTCAAAAACTAAGAAATATATTTTACAACCTAATTTCAGCAATAATTAGAATCTAAGTTTTTTTAAGCAAGTCACAGGAAGAGTACATTAAACTTGATAGAGGCAAAAACTCAAAACACCTCACACTTGGGAATAATAACACAAAAATAGCCTCACACTTGGAAAACCAAAGGAAATATTCTCACAATTGGAAAAACCAAACCAATGCCCACACATTTGGGAAAACCCCAAACAAAAAAAGAAAAAAAAAACTAACAAATAACCCATTTTCAAGTCAAGTGCGCGTTGCGTGCACCAAGATACTACTGATACTATGTGGCAATTCTAAAAAGATAACAAAAGAATCATATCAATTATCAAATTATCAATTCGCTTCTCCACACAAGACAACAAACTTTTGCTCTATGAAAAGCCATCATCATCAAACTGAGTTTATTGAAATTACTAGTAGTAAAGACATATAAGAAGAAGGACTAAAATTGCCAACCAAAATAGTAGGTGGTTTGATGGAGTATGTGAGACAAATCATATTTCTAACCTAATATTGTCAAGTGGTTGAATTCCTCTAAGCTTATCATAATTAGTGGTAGAAAAAGGCTTTGCATAATTCCATCAGAAGGCACACTAAAAATGAAAAAAAAACTCAAAAGAGTACTAATATAAAGTATAATACAAAGCATGACAGATTATTCCCACCACTGAGAAGATCATATCTACTTAAAATCGTATAGAAGAAGCAAAGCTGGGGCCAGATATTTATATCTATCTGTTTTTGTAAAATAAGAACAATAACTAAAGTTTATAACAGTGAAAAATTCCCTCTGCCGACACAAAAAGTGAGTACAAAAAAAAAGCATGATACCCAACAGAGAACATTCTCTGAGAGCAAAATCTAATTGACACTAGATAAAGATGAATAGGTAAAAATTAAATATATTTCTTTATTCAATACCCAACAAAGTACATAGATCTGCAAGGAATATAACAGAAATTGCTAGCTATGAACAAAGTAAAACCTTATCTCAGACAAATATGCTAAAATTAGTTAAATTTGTTTAGTAACCACAAGAACAGAGCGTTATTGATCAATTTGAGTATTCATAAAATGAAATTGACATAATTTTAGCTTGTTAGAACTTTACTAATCAATTTTGAGAATTCATAAAATTCTACAAATATTAATTCTCCATGCACATAAGTTTCCTCCTAAAAGACCATAAAATCCATAAAATCCAAGGCAAACCCTTCTTAATTCTATAAAATCCATAAAATCTAAGGCAAACCCTTCTTAATTCTAGAGTTCCCTTCAAGAGATTCCTGTATTGCAGAGAAAAAGAACTGCCATGAACTAAGAAGAAAATAAAAAATTTAAACAAATTAAACATAATAGCTTTATAATTAACAAATTTAAATTAAAAGAAAAACCTGCTCAGCTGAAGGAGAGGAAAAAAAGTTGCTTACTCTCAACAACAACAAGTGCTTTGGAGTCATCAGCCTTCTCTTTGGCCGGAGGCGATGGTGTCGCCGGAGATGGGATCACTTCCTTCTCATCCGCCACATCTTTCGGGGCCTCGGTTGCCGTCAATGGCGGCGTAGCAGGAGCTTCTGGCTCTGTTGAGACCTAATCGAAAATGAGCCTTAGATTGAGGGGAGACGAAGAGATTTAGGGGATTTCAATTGAAAATGAGGCTTAGATTGAGGGATTTCAAAAAGAGGGTGGGATTGAGGGAGACGAAGAGACGATTTGGGGTTTGTCTAGATTATTTCTGAGATCGATGAATGCTTAATGATTTTGGAAGTTAAAGAAATGGTGTCATTGAATATTAAAAAGATTTTTTTAAGAAAATTAAAAAAAAAAAAAAAATTGCCGAGTGACGTGTGCAAAGATAAGAGTTTTTAGTAATAGAAAATATATAGATATAGATGCCCCTCGGATTATTGCCAAGTGAAGCTCGCTATTAAAGCAAAAGCCGGAATTTTAGGAGCATTAATTGTAGTAACGAAAACGGAGGTGACGAACCAACCATAATTCAACTCACCGATATAAATTGCGTATAGGTTACGAGCCTAAAAAGTAAGATTGCCTCCAGCTGTCCAGCTTGTAGTCGTTCGTTTTATTTCTTTGCTAAACAAAGGAAAACGGTACATTTCATAAAAAGCCCTTGAACTTTAAGCCACTTTGCACATAACCTCATTTAACTTTGTTTATTCGTCAAAGCCCCCGAACTTGTCTCATTTCACCACCAAAGTAACACCAACTTTGAGGATTCTGTCAAGCATGTGACAACAAAGAATGAAATTACCTCTAGGCTTATAAAAATTACCCCTTTATTCATTGTATAATTTTTCGTGAGTTATGTTTCAAAAAGGATATTTTGATCATTTTAGTTATTAACAGGTAACATCATTAGGTGCAGCTTTGAAGAAACTTCATAGTTTGGAGGGGTTAAGTGAGAAATCTACAGTTTGGGGGTGTTAAATGGAATAAATATACGTCGTAGGGCTTATATGCAGAACCCCAAAAGTTCAAAGAGTTGAATGATGCGCGAAATTTAACCCAAGGCAAATAACACTGCAAGCTTTTAAAATATATAGGGGCAAAGAGGCAAAACTGCGCACTTTTTCTTCGGCACCGATTTGAATAAGAAAACCAGGGAGACTTTCTCATATAATTTATCACTCATTTGACGACAAACTTTCAATCTACGTCAGCAGACAAACAGATGCCGCTTATTGCGCTGATTTTAATTTTAATTTAAGTTTTCTTCAAATCCTTTTGGTTTAATTTATTTTTGTTACTAACACAAAAAAAAAAGTTTTTGTATTTCATTCAAAATTCAAGATTTTTACTTTCAAATTTATATTAGGGTTATGACGATAATTCTAGATTTAAAATTTAATTTTGTGCGAGATGCATTAGCCACCATGCTTTCTCAAAAATAGAATAGTTTCATAAATATTTAGAGAAAATTGCGGATAACCTAATTAATCATCTGCCACTTGAAAAACACTTATTATCTCTCAACTTGTTTATGAATTAACATTAATTTCATGTAAAAGACGAGCAAATTATCCTCCTCAAATTCAATCTAAAAGAGATAAAAGGTTAATAAATGAGTTATGAGATGATAAATACTAACAAGTATATAGGTAATTAAAGAGGATTATTATCAATTTTCCAATATTTAATAGAATATAATAATCATAATTATTACTCTTATAATTTGAAACTAAATATTAAGATATCTTTTTCATAACCCTAATACATTTTTAAGTAGATAAAGTGTTGGAAATTGGGAAAAGGGATAATATTAAACTTTCTTTTAAGGGATAAATATAGTTACCCTGAAAATAAACTTGCGTAAGGGATAAATATAGTTACCCTTAAAATAAAACACCTTTCACGAGGTTCTCCTGACTTTGTGTACCTCTGACCTCTTCTAGTTTCTATTCACAGGATTCTAAACTTACCCCTCTCTTTGTAATATATGCTTGCATCTATCTCTACCCCCTCTTCTCTCTCTCTCTCTCTCTCTCTCTCTCTCTCTATGAAACAAACCCAATTCATAAAGCAGAGCAGGAAGTTCTCTGATCAGGTAAATTAAGAGTTAATAATATGTAATATGTTCTTATGTTTCCCAAGATTATTGCTAACAATCTCTTGCTCTTGTTTATGTTCATTTTCTAGAATTAACATGTGGAGATGAATTCGATAGTATATTCTAAGAGCAGATCATGGCCAATGAAGTTCCTAACGTCAACAAGAAACTCGCTGCTCTTCTTCTTCTTCCTTGTTTTGGCCGGAGCCCTAATCTCTACTCGTTGGATCAACAACACCGTGAGTCTCTCGATTTTTTTTTATTTTTTATTTTTTTTAACTTACTGTAGTCAAAGTGAATTAACTATTAAAAAAAAAAGAAATTGTCAGTTTTTCTTTTTTTGGTGTTTCGGGTGGGGGGGTTTACAAGTGCTCAACTCTGCAGCTCTCTGCATGTGCAGACCGTGGCGCGTAGGTATAGCGCTGGCTTTGAGATTCGTTCATTTTTAGTCCATCAAGATTCTCGCAGGAATTAGAAAGCTTACAGCTTGTTTGATGAGTCCTTTGGTGGTCCAAATTTGATGGGTCAACGAATTGGTTGGGGGGTGCGCTTTTGGGGCCTAGATATTTTAGGGTAGGTAAAGCTTTTTATGTAAATTTTGCTACCTTTGATGATTTCTGGAATCTAGAGAGGAAACTTTGTGGCCTACCATGTTTGTTTGAGAGAGAAATATGTACTATCGACATATTTATTGATAGACGTCAAATCACAACTTGTTGCAGATAATAATTAATTAAAGTCGTTAGAGATCCAAAATCATATCAATATTGAGAGCGGACGAAGTTACGAGCAAGCTAAAATTTAGCAAATGTGGGTTCATGTATATATTTTGTGAATATTATTAAAGTATGAAGGGGTGATTTTTTGTGGAGGAAAATGAATTAGATATTTCATTTTTGAATTCTAATATGACCATGACTTAATAAATTTTGAAGGAAGGTATACACATTTTTAGGACATATTTGATATGATTAGAGAATATATCTGCTTACCTCAAATACTTGTAATATTATATATTTATTTATAACCGATGTTGAATTATTTACTCGTGACCAAATGGGATTATTGGCTCAACCTGCTGTGGGAGTTCTAGGGTTCAAAAGAGAAAAAGAAGGAATAAAAGAGACTTCGAAAGTAAATGAAAAATAATGGCGATATTACCTCTGATCTTAGTCAGTAATTAAATAATAATTAGTACATTCTTACTTGGATCTTCACATTGACTTTCTTTTGACCAAAAAAGGAAATATATGCAGGTCAGAAAAGTTAATTTCATATGATTATTAAGTAATCATCATTTATTGGTCCTTCTAGAGTTTCTTCCATTTGATCTTACTAAATGACCTTAAGGAGTGTTTGTTTGCATGCAAGTGAAAGATAAAAATGAGAAAGTAACTGTCTTTTAACATCTATACTATAATATTTTCAGTAGAAACTTAGGTGTTTGTTTGCATGCAAGTGGTTATAAAAGTAAAACGCAAGAAAGTTATCACATAGGATTTAATGCAATTTTGACTTCCCCTAAAAAACGGTGAAGTTATATGAAAGTGACAAAAACAGTAACAATTTAAATTAAATGGTTTTAAATACAACATTTACCAATTATTCTAATTTTGTCATGTTCTCTTCACATTGCACGTTCAACAATAATATAGCTTTTTAAACAAATATTGTATTCCATTTGCACGTTGACATGAATATGAAGGTCATTTGCAAACCTACACGAAATTTTTAAATCAACCCGAGAAGTAATTTGCCATTTTCTGGACTTTTATTATGGAATCTAGTACTATGTTTTCTATTAACGAGATTATTTTAAGTTATAACCAAACCAAATGGAAAATTAAGATTTATGTAAGTGACCCAAAATTTTAGGATAAAGGACTTTGTTGTGCTCTTGTTGTAAAGATATATTGTAATTAGTATTGACAGGTGAAAACGGACTTCAAAGGTGAAAAGTTATGCCTTCGTGAAGCACACTAATTACATGATGGTTTCACTTGAGTTTGATGTTGTCCAAATATTACATGTAGGTTATGATTATATTATTTATCCATAATCATTTGCATCCTTCCATATGTTTGGCCCTATTAATACACTTGTGGATGTCATCTTTTGTGGAGAAATCTGGAAAAAAAAATCTAGATTTTGTGTCATAAGTCGACTCATGCACAGGCATAAGTTGACTTATGGTAAGTCAACTTCTGTCTATGCACGAGTCGACTTACGTTCTGTTCTAGAATTGTTGGTTTTGGTTCTGTCAAATCGATTTATAGACACTGTTAAGTCGACTTATGATCTGTTCTCCAGTTGTTGATTTTCGCTCTGCCAAGTCGACTTATAGAGCCTGATGAGTCGACTTATGTCGCGTTTTCTGCACAATTTGAGTTCCTATTTGGATTCTGTTTTGATATAAATAGGAAAGATTTTGAGGGTTAGTGAGCAGTAAATTGGGGATATTTGGAGCACAGAAAAGAGGTATTTTCTGAGCTATTGGTTAGGGATTTGTTTGGAGAGAATTAGAGATTTGTTGGTGAGATTAATTGGTGAGTTCGAGTGATTTGTAATCTCAGTTTGTACTCTTCTTCTTATTAGTGAAAAGCTCATCCCCTTCTTGCCCCGTGGACGTAGGTAACTTGCCGAACCTGTTGGGAATTTAACGCTGAAACCCCCTAATGCAACAGAAACGCAGTATAGAAAAAGTACACCAAGATTTAACGAGGTTCGGCAATTGCCTACTTCCTCGGGAGCCACACAGATAATTTCTTATTAATCAAACAAGAAATTATAATTTAGGAGCAGATCTCAAAATTGAGATTTCTCAAATAAACACTGTAGCTACAGTGTTAATAATTAAATGGTATGAACCCTTTTAATTCTCACTTGAGAATAAATGAATAACCCACAATAAAAACCCTTCTTTAATTTTCTCTCTCTCTCTCTCTTCTTAAATCCCCTATCTCTCTCTCTCTCTTCTTAAATCCCTCTTTTTAATCTCCCCTCAAAATCCCGAAGTTCTGAGCGCTGGAGAAAAATGGAACGAAGACCGAAAGGGAAAATCGCCGTCAGAGAAGAATCGGAGGAGGGGGAAAAAAGCCAGTAGCGAAACCCTAGGGCCAGAAGGGGTTTATATAGGCGGATTAATGGGCTGGCGACAGCCTGTCGCCAGCGACCCGCTTGGACGCCAATGTCGAGGCCGAACGCAGAGTTGAGAGGGGGGGTTCGAACGCAGAGGTCGAACGAACGCAGAGGTCGGATCCGAACGCTGAGTGAGCTCGCTGGGGGGGTCGCCGTCGACTTCGCCACGCTCGCCTGCATCATCTCAGAGCTCGTCGGAGCTCCTCGCCGGACATGGAGGTTGGTATCCACCCCCAAACTAACAATCTCCCACTTGGAAACCAAACCGACGTCAACGGGCTAGCTCATCAAGCTCCTCTCCTGTATGGCTCCGCCCTCATCATCTATGCATGAAGGCCAACTGAAGTTGCGCACAACTCCAGTTTCTGAACTGTCACCGTCTTTGTTAACATGTCTACTGGATTCTTACTTCCTGGAATCTTTTCCAGTTTCAACACGTCATCTTCCAACATGGATCTGATGAAGTGGTACCGAAGCGCAATATGCTTCGTTCTAGAATGAAATGCGGAATTCTTCGCCAAGTGTATCGCACTCTGGCTATCACTGTGCAAAACATTCTTCTCCTGTTTGAATCCCAGCTCTGTTAACAAACCCTGAAGCCATATCATCTCTTTACTGGCTTCAGTCACTGCAACATACTCAGCTTCTGTAGTGGATAGGGTAACGATCTTCTGTACCTGTGACATCCAACTAACAGCTGTAGTTCCAACGGTGAATACATAGCCGGTGGTGCTTCTTCGGTGATCAACTTCGCCAACGAAGTCTGCATCTACGTACCCTTGCACTTCTACCTCTCCCTTACCAAAGTGCAAACACTTCTGTGTGGTGCCTCGTAGATATCTCAGAATCCACTTGACCGCTTCCCAATGAGCTTTTCCTGGATTCGACATAAACCGGCTGACCACTCCCACTGCATGGCCAATATCTGGTCTCGTACAGACCATAGCGTACATCAAGCTTCCGATAGCTGAGGCGTAAGGTACCTGAGCCATACTCTCTTTCTCTTCTTCTGACTGAGGAGACTGATCCTTCGATAAACGAAAGTGGCTGGCCAAGGGTGTGCTCACAGGCTTGGCATCGCCCATGTTGAATCTCTGCAAAACACGGTTGATGTACTCCGTCTGAGATAACTGCAAGAGACCTCTCTTCTTATCTCTCGTGATTTGCATTCCAAGGATCTTCTTCGCTGGACCCAAGTCCTTCATGTCAAACTCCTTTGACAGCTGCTGCTTCAAACTCTTGATATCTTTCATATCTGCTCCTGCAACCAACATATCATCAACATACAGCAGTAGGATGATATAGCTGGACTGATATCTTTTGAAGTAGCAACAGTGGTCGGCGTTGCACTTCTGGAAACCTTCCTTGTGCATGAAGCCGTCAAACTTCTTGTACCACTACCTTGGGGCTTGTTTCAGGCCATACAAGCTCTTCTTGAGTCTGCACACCAGGTTCTTCTTCTTTTCTTCTGAGAAACCTTCTGGCTGGTGCATGTATATCTCCTCTTCTAGATCTCCGTGAAGAAACGCCGTCTTCACGTCTAACTGCTCGAGATGAAGATCTTCAATTGCTACAATACTCATCACGGTCCTGATAGTATTTAGCTTCACCACGGGAGCGAAAATATCGGTGTAGTCAATTCCTTCCTTCTGCTGGAAACCTTTGACAACTAGCCGGGCTTTATATCTTCTGGAACCATCCTGCTCCTCTTTCACCCGGTACACCCATTTGTTGTGGAGTGCCTTCTTACCCGTGGGCAACTCAGCTAGTTCCCACGTCTGGTTTGATATGAGAGACTTCATCTCATCTTTCATTGCAAGCTCCCACTTGCTCGCATCTCCACACTGACAAGCTTCATCAAAGCTTTCAGGCTCCCCACCATCTGTCAACAACAGATAGTTCATGTATCTCCTGTTGGGTACAGGAGGACGAGAAGATCTTCTTAATATCGGAGCTGGTGCGTCGGGCTCCTGCGCACCATCTTGTCCAACAGGCTCTTCTTGCTGAGGACCCTCTGCATTGGGTTCTTCCGAGAGGTTACTCGGGACATCATCTGCATCTACAAATATTGACTCGCTCTCTGAGTTATTTGTCTTGTGCATGTCCTTGTACATCACCTTCTCGTTGAATATCACATCTCTGCTCCGGATCACCTTCTTGTTTTCGTTGTCCCAAATGCGGTAGCCGAACTCATCTTCACCATAGCCGATGAAAGTGCATTTCTTTGACTTGGGATCAAGCTTATTCCTGCCTTGATCACTAATATGCACGTAAGCTACACAACCGAAAACTTTTAGATGTGAGAGTTTTACCTCCTTTCCGCACCATACCTCCTCTGGTATTCTGTGCTCCAATGGAACCGATGGACCTCGGTTGATCAAGTAAGCTGCTGTGTTGACCGCTTCTGCCCAGAACTGCTTCGGTAGGCCTGATTGTACTCGAATGCTTCTGGCTCTCTCTGTCAACGTTCGGTTCATTCGCTCAGCTACACCATTTTGCTGAGGCGTGCCGGGCACGGTTCTCTCCATTCTGATACCGTGCTCATAGCAGAACTTCTTGAATCTGGTGTCTTCATACTCACCACCATTGTCTGTTCTGAGTTTCTTTACCCTCAAACCGGTCTCATTCTTGACCATGGCTTTCCATCTTCTGAAAGCCTCAAACACTTCTGACTTATGTTTCAGAAAGTAGACCCATACTTTCCGAGTGTGATCATCGATAAAAGTCACGAAGTAGTGTTTCCCACCAATCGACGCAGTGGTGGTTGGTCCCCAAACATCTGAGTGAACGAGCTCTAGCTTCTGCTTCCTGGGGGTTCTGCCACTTGTCTGAAAGCTGACTCTCTTCTGCTTTCCAAGTATACATTCTTCACACATATCCATCTCCACTGACTGCAGTCCTGGGAGTTTCCCCTTTGTGTGCATGATTTTCATCCCCTTCTCACTCATATGACCGAGTCTCTGGTGCCACAGCTTTGAAGTCTCATTGCCTGCTGCAACTGAGATCAAACAACGTGCACCTGCTGTCATATACAGGGTACCAGTCTTCTTGCCTCGGGCAATCGTCATTGCGCCCTTTGAGATCTTCCAATCATCTCCATGGAAGGTTGTGGTGTATCCTTCGCCAGCCAACTGGCCTACGGATATTAAATTCTTTCTCAGGTCGGGAATATGCCTGACATCCTTCAGCTCCCATACTGACCCGTTCAACTTAATTTTCACCACGCCTTTGCCCACTATAGCACACGGTTGATCATCACCAAGATATACGTATCCAAGTTTTCCGGGGGTATACTTCTCGAAGAATTCTTTCTGAGAGGTAGCATGGAACGACGCTCCTGAATCTAACACCCAAGATTCCTCCTTGCTCTCCAAAGAGCATATCAATGCGTCGTCTCCTCCTGAAGTGGAAGTGACATTCACCTCTGCCTTCGCCTCCTTCTCTTTCTGTGCACTCTTGCACTGATTCTTGTAATGTCCGGTCTTTCCACAATTCCAACACTCGATAGCCTTCGAGCTGTTGCTTGGATTCCTTGATTTGGACCTCCTGTCCTTTGATCTACCTCTGAAGTTTGATTTGCCTCGTCCGTTTCCTCTGGTTGAATTTCTACCTCTTGACTCTGTATGCAATACTGAAGAGGTTGTAGCTCCATCCGTTTCTCTCCGTCGGATCTCCTCACTGAGAACCAAGTCACGAACGTCGTCGAACTTCAACTTATTGTTTCCCGACGAGCTACTCACAGCTGTGACTGTAGCGTTCCAACTCTCTGGTAGGGAAGACAACAATATCAACGCCCGAACTTCTTCATCAAACTCAATCTCAACTGAACTCAATTGGGTTGTAACCGTATTAAGTTCATTGAGGTGTTGTGCTACTAACGCGCCTTCTGCCATTTTCAGATTGAATAATCGCCGCATCAAATGAACTTTGTTCGCGGCTGATGGCTTCTCATGCAAGTTTTAGAGTGTTGCCATAAGACCCGCCGTGGTCTTCTCCTTCGCTATGTTGAACGCAACATTGCGAGTCAACGTCAATCTGATAACTCCGAGGGCTTGTCTATCTAGAAGGTTCCACTCATCTGCCTTCATAGAATCTGGCTTCTTCCCCGATAGTGGTTGATACAGATTTTTCTGATACAGATAATCCTCTATCTGCATTTTCCAGAATCCGAAATCTGTTCCATCAAATTTCTCAAGTCTCATTTTTGCCTCATTTGTGGCCATGGCTCCTACTTGAATCTGACTTGTTCTAGATCGTTTCAATCTCTGATACCAGTTGTTGGGAATTTAACGCTGAAACCCCTAATGCAACAGAAACGCAGTATAGAAAAAGTACACCAAGATTTAACGAGGTTCGGCAATTGCCTACGTCCTCGGGAGCCACACAGATAATTTCTTATTAATCAAACAAGAAATTACAATTTAGGAGCAGATCTCAAAATTGAGATTTCTCAAATAAACACTGTAGCTACAGTGTTAATAATTAAAGGGTATGAACCCTTTCAATTCTCACTTGAGAATAAATGAATAACCCACAATAAAAACCCTTCTTTAATTTTCTCTCTCTCTCTCTCTCTTCTTAAATCCCCTATCTCTCTCTCTCTCTTCTTAAATCCCTCTTTTTAATCTCCCTCAAAATCCCGGAAGTTCTGAGCGCTGGAGAAAAATGGAACGAAGACCGAAAGGTGAGCTCGCTGGGGGGGTCGCCGTCGACTTCGCCACGCTCGCCTGCATCATCTCAGAGCTCGTCGGAGCTCCTCACCGGACATGGAGGTTGGTATCCACCCCCAAACTAACAATCTCCCACTTGGAAATCAAACCGACGTCAAATTGATTTATAGACACTGTTAAGTCGACTTATGATCTGTTCTCCAGTTGTTGATTTTCGCTCTGCCAAGTCGACTTATAGAGCCTGATGAGTCGACTTATGTCGCGTTTTCTGCACAATTTGAGTTCCTATTTGGATTCTGTTTTGATATAAATAGGAACGATTTTGAGGGTTAGTGAGCAGTAAATTGGGGATATTTGGAGCACAGAAAAGAGGTATTTTCTGAGCTATTGGTTAGGGATTTGTTTGGAGAGAATTAGAGATTTGTTGGTGAGATTAATTGGTGAGTTCGAGTGATTTGTAATCTCAGTTTGTACTCTTCTTCTTATTAGTGAAAAGCTCATCCTCTTCTTGCCCCGTGGACGTAGGTAACTTGCCGAACCACGTTAAAATTGGTTGTTTGTGTTTGTACCGTTATTTTGGTTTGTTTGGTCTTCTCTCGATGTTTGTTTGGTTTGGTTTCTCGAAGCACATAGGTTTGGCTTCCGCGCGCACAACACTCGTACTTGAGGAAATAGAAATTGAATGATGCTGGTTTTCCCGTTTTAGATTGATGTAGTTGAAACCTCATCTAGTACGCAAAACATGCATCGGATGTTGATGGGGTAGGGGTTCCAGCTAGAGGGTATTTAAGCTGTTTTCCAATGTAGATTGAGCTAGTGTCAAATCTCACGGTAGTTTCTCTGGCAAGGATCACATCCCAGCAAATATGCAAGTTCCTAGTTTCCTGCTTGAAAAACTTTTTAGACTACTAAAAATTGTGCATCTAACGTCCTGTTCCTTAGGAGGACAACAAATGATATCCATGCGTGTTTTTTTTATATATTTATGTTGAGGTTGCTAACAGGATGTAAATTGATTTTGGGTACACCTCATAGTAACAGACTCTATCAGTAGAAGATCCTGATACAAAGCCCTTCAAGCAAATTGCTATTTCTAAACTCTTGTCGATGATTTCACTATTACCAAATTTGTAAACGTAGTATAATGTTGATGCAAAATTTTCTCACCAAGAAAATGTACGAAAATGTAATGAACAAATTAGTACAAAGCGGTATGACAAAACTATGACTTAACCGAAAACAAAAAAATTAATGTTTCAAAAGGATTACTTCCCTTTTTTTTTTCTGAAAACAACATTTTATTTTCATGCAGCTCATGATCAGCACCTCCTCCACTTCAATTCCAATCGCCACAACAACTGAACACCAAAATGCGATCATTCCCTCTCCTCTTTCTGAGACACCTCAACAGCTCAAAAAAATCACCGCCACAACCTCCTCCACCTCCACCACCATCGACACCACCTCCATCAATACCGTTCACCTGTCCAACAGGTAGCCTTAACACTACAACCTATACCTGCCAATCACTATCCTCCCAAACCACCATTGAACTCCCTCCATCCTCTTCTTGTCCCGACTACTTCCGTTTTATCCACGAAGACCTTCGTCCATGGAAAACAACCGGCATCACAAAGGAAATGGTGGAGAGAGCTCGATTAACTGCCAACTTTCGCTTAATAGTCCTCAACGGCAAAGCCTATATCGAGACATATGAAAAGTCTTTTCAGACTCGGGATACTTTCACTTTATGGGGCATTGTTCAGCTGCTGAGACGTTATCCTGGTCAAGTTCCGGATCTTGACTTAATGTTTGACTGTGTTGATTGGCCGGTGGTTATGGCGGTTAATTATAAGGGGAAGAATAAGCCTGCTCCGCCTCCTTTGTTTAGATACTGTGGAGATGATTCGACGCATGATATCGTGTTTCCCGACTGGTCTTTCTGGGGTTGGTTGGTAATTCATTCACTCCTTTGCTTTCATAATATTGAGAGTCTCTGAAACTGTTTTAAAATAAGGGTCTTATTTGCGTAAAAAGTTATCTTATATCATTTTGGTTGGTAATTTGCGGTTAAAATTAATGTTTATAAATTAACTGGTTTATATCAATTGTATGATTCAAGAATTTGCCTTAAAAATGTGTCATATTCCTTTTAACGTGTAATTTACAGTTTATATCAATTTCATAGGTAAAGAATGAATCTCAGACTATAGAATCAAGTTCTGTAAATTTACATAAAGAGGTATGTAATAACAAATAACATCCATGAACATAGTCTGGAAGTAGCAGTTAAGTAGAAATTGCAGTTAATCTTTTAATTTTCCGTTTAAATTAGCTTCAATAATTGAAGATTTTATTGTACTGTAGTAAGAAATTTTTAGGTGAAGAATGGTACAATGGAAGGAATAGCAAAGAGAATATAATCATAATATGTTAAGGCAAACATACAGAGGCTCTCTATGTGTGTTATTTTTATCACTTCTCCATATAGCTTCATTTGCTTCGTTTAATGTTTTAGTATATTGTAATTTGAAGGCCAGAGGTCAACATAAAGCCATGGGAGGCACTTTCAGGAGAGCTAAAGGAAGGGAATAAGAGGATTAAATGGGTAGACAGGGAACCCTATGCTTACTGGAAAGGAAACCCATCAGTAGCTCATACTCGTATGGATCTTATGAAGTGCAACATCTCTGAAGGCCAAGAGTGGAATGCTCGAATTTTTGCTCAGGTACTAAATACTTACTAATAACTATAAATTCCTCAAGCATATAATTGAATTCACTCGAAGCTTGAACTTAATTGTTTACAAACATTCTGTAGGATTGGTTCAGCGAGGGAAAGAAAGGGTTCAAGGAATCAAACCTGGCCAGCCAATGCAATTATAGGTACACAATTCAGTACGAGATTTTTAAATAAAAACTTTCAGATGATTATGCTTGGACATAATGATTAACCACATGTACAGGTACAAGATATATATTGAGGGATCAGCATGGTCAGTGAGCGAGAAATACATTCTGGCATGTGATTCGCTTTCACTTATTGTGAAACCACGTTACTATGATTTTTTCACTAGAGGGTTGATTCCAGTGCACCATTACTGGCCGATAAGGGAGGATGATAAATGCAGGTCCATCAAGTTTGCAGTTGAGTGGGGCAATTCACACAAACGAAAGGTATCCCATTGTTAGTCTACACAATGTTATCATATGTTTGTAAATTGCTCCCTCTCCTTTATCTCATCAACTAATGAATTATCTGATCTAATTCTTGATTGGATGTTTATTTCTCCAACCAGCTTCGGCCCAAACCGGATACTTTCTTTTCTTTTTAAAATTTCCCTAGCAAGATATAGGCCCTAGGTCAATTTATATAGCATTATGATTTATGCATAGGATGTGTCACTATGTACATAACCTGGTTTAAGTGAGGTTGTGTCATGCCTGTACTCATTTGGGATAGATTTGATTTTGTCTAATTTGGTATCAACACCAAAAAAAATCGCAAGTTTTCCCCTTCACCCAGATAGGTTTGATTTTGTTTATTTGGTTGAACGCAGGTGTTCATGAAACTGTTTAAACACATTTTAATCTACATTATTTCTGGACCCTGGTCCCTAGTTTTCTATTCTATTCTTTTCTTTCTATCTCAATTTTTTAGAAGACAATTGTATTGTGAGAATTGTTGTCGCCTACAAAATTGGCGTTTTTAATCCAATCACACACATAATGTACCTTTGCTAACGTGCTAACCAATTTAAACAGGCACAGGAGATAGGAAAAGAAGCAAGCAACTTCATCCAAAATGACCTAGACATGGATCACGTATACGACTACATGTTTCACTTGTTAACCGAGTACTCCAAGCTCCTAAAATACAAGCCTACTAAGCCTCAAAATGCTACTGAGCTCTGCGCTGAGTCAATAGCTTGTAGATCTGAAGGGCTCGAGAGGAAGTTCATGATGGAATCAATGGTGAAAGCGCAGCACAATTCAGCACCATGCTCTTTGCCTCCTCCTTATACTCCCGTAGGGCTAAGTACTTTAAAGAGGAGGAAGGATAACTCTATAAAGCAAGTACAGACGTGGGAGCAAAGGGCTTGGGATAGCAAGGGAAACTAGCTTGGGACAGCAAGGGAAACTTGTTATTTGTCATTTTATTTTGGTTTTACTTTTAAATCTATAGATAGATACATGTATTTTAAAGGTTATAGGTAAAGCCCACTTGGGCTAACGTAATATGTGAAGAAAAAAAGAACAATGGGTGTTATGCAATACAAGTGAAGTTTGAAGAATTTAATTTGTGTTTTTTATTTATTTGTATAGTTTAATTAGAAAATACTTTTAGGGGGATTTTAATATGGACCTTGAAATTTCTTTGTTTTATTTACGTTATCGGTTACTCTATAATGTATCAGGTTTTATGATACAGGAGATCAAGGAACATACGGCCGAGGCGAGGTGAAGGAACAGGTGGACGAGATCAAGCGATCGAGACGAGATGAAGGAACAGACGATACGAGACTCGACGACTCGAACTAGACGAGTCGACAACAAACCAGACGAGATGAGACAAATAGATGACTCGAGGTGACGAGTTGAGATGATGACCCAAGGCAAAGCGACCCAGCCGAGACCCCAATCGACAGGACGAGACGACACGCCCCAGTCGACACGAAGGGCGGTGTTAGTCAACACCTGTCAGTCGACACATCCTAGTCGACACGAAGGGAGCTAGTCGACACATATTAGTCGGCTCATGTCCAGTCGACACGAAAAGCACTGCTACTCGTCACGCCTCGTGTCAACTCGAATTTCAGATTTAGAATGAGTTTTTTTTTATTTCCTTTTGGGATTTGATATTTTTTCTTATAGACTCAGAGTTTCTTTTTTATTAGAGTTAGGATAGATTTAGTTGGCTATAAATATTAGTTTCTTTTATAAATTGTAAATTAATTTTTTCAATTAATCAATCAAGAGAATTTTTCTCCTTGTTTATGTACTCAACTTTGAGAAACTTAGAGCTTGTGGATTCAAGCTCGTGAATTACCTGCTGTTGTCAGGACTCGTCGGCATCAGAACGATATCCAATCGACCTCCCCGTTTTTACATCTGCGTCAAGTGGTATCAGAGCTTCGGCTTCAATATCCTCGACAATGACAAGTGACGGCGAGAAGGAACTTTCTCTTCAGGATCTTTCCGCAAGGATGGATTCTATGGATAGAATATTTGGCACGTTGGAGGCGTCTCTTCAGAACCTTCAACAAGCCATTGAAGGATTTACTCTTCACCTCAACAATGAGAATAACTTCGCCGACTGTCTTTACCTAAGCGAACACGGAATTAGGCTACCCCGACATCTACCCCCGTACAATCCTCTGTTTTCGTCAAAAGTTGCCTTCATCATTGATTTCATTAAAACTTCAAACGTTACAAATGAATTCAAATAACGAAAATAAAAATTACAACTTTCTTGAAAATAAACACAAGATCCGTTTATCGTCTCTTGCTTGCGTGGGTCTTTAGCCTGTGACGGGGACGTCGATATCCGTGGACTACCTGGCAATCAGCTCTGATCCAGAAAAATCGGGCAGAGCTTCGTCGATCCGCGAGGAGATCTAGAAACTTGGAGCGCCTATCTCGGATAAAGCGAGATATTTGCTCTTCTTAGGATTACCGACGAGGGGTAATGCTAAGGAACGGATGCGAGTGATGTAGATCTGATGAAGAACTCTCTTGTGTTGAAGTGCTCGATCACTCTTCACTCCAGCAGGGCTTCGCCAATTCTCCAAAAATCCAGATCCCCAAAAGTGAGGCCTAAGGCTTCTATTTATAGGCAACACCCCTGGGGTGTCCCCAAAAATCTAGGACACCCATGGGGCGTCCCCAAAAATCTAGGACACCCCTGGGACGTCCCCAAAAATCTAGGACATCTCTGGGGCGTCCCCAAAAATCTAGGACACCCCTGGGGCGTCCCCAAAAATCTAGGACACCCCGCTGTAAATTCTTCGTCCGAACTCGGATTTTAGTGATTCGAATTGCGTTGGAAGTCTGACGAAGAGTTCTACGAAGGGCATTGTTCCCTTTGTAAACATTGCGGGGCTCCTGATTAGCCCGCACCTTTGTTATTCCGGAATTCTGTCAGCTCACGTAGTTCGTCGGTTCACTTCAAGCGTTCACCGACGTCAATCGAACTCCTGTGAACCGGATAGTAACGTTCATCGTCATTCCTTAACACTGAGCTATTCGTAGAGACCTATAGGCAATTTTCGACGCCTACAGATACCCCCTCCAAAGCGTTCCGGACTCGTTTCTTTTATAGAAGAGGCTGGAGTACTTTGGATGTGATTGGTCTAGCCTTCAGTCGGCGTAAAGGACCTGTAGTTAGCTTCAACTCTTGACTCCTTCGATTTCCGGTCTATCGAATGCTTTGACGAATAGCCGAAGTTCTCCTGGCGCTGCATTTATCGCTTGGCCGTCGTCGGAGTCTCGAGTCTACAGCTGGTGAATTGAGTTTGGCTCGTGTCATTGAGTTGACTTTGAACTACCTCCGTCGCATTGTGTTGACTTAAGGTTTCAGATCACCGTATGTTGATTTTTTTGTCGCAACGCGTTGACTGGCGTTGACCTAGGGTAACGCGTTGACCGTGTTGACCCTAGGGTTTCGAACGTCGAATGTTGACTTTTTGGTCGCAACGCGTTGACTGGCGTTGACCTAGGGTTACGCGTTGACCGGCGTTGACCCTAGGGTTTCGAACGTCGAATATTGACTTTTTGTCGCAACACGTTGACTGGCGTTGACCTAGGGTTACGCGTTGACCGACGTTAACCCTAGGGTTTCGAATCAACCTGAGGAGAACCAGTTTATACTCGTGTACTCCTGGGAGTTTTGGGAATTAGTTTAGCCTCGTGTACCCGTCGGAGGTTGACGGGTTATCCTTAAGAATATTATACATAATATTTTCCAGGAACTTCCCGTCAATTGTGAGAAATAGTTTAAACTCGTATTTTCATTGGAGTATAAATACGAGTGTTGAATACGTCGTAAAAATATCTGAAAAGGGGGATCAAAGTGTATATAAATTATCCCCAAGTCTTTCTACACGTTCGAGCCAACATTTCGCACCTCGTACGCGTGTGAACCATCAAAAAATGATTTAATCTGGTTCGGTTCATGCCAGTTTGAGTTGGTTCGGGTCATGTGGGTTCGGTCCAACCAAAAACAAAAAAAAAATCCACTTACAAAAACCCGATCCCCTCTCCTTCTTTCTCTTTTTTTTTGCTTCGGTTTCTACAGTTCCGCCCCCTTCCCCATTTCTTCTTTTTTTTTCGGTTCTGACCTCTTCTCCCTCCCCAAGAGCTCTAAAACTCCAAGAACTTCCCCACACCAAGGACTCCAAACAAGACCCAAGTCTTCCTCCTCAAAACCCATTAGCTTTGATAAGATAAAGCCTCGAAAAGGAACCCGAAATCTTCATCTCCTCACAAGCTAGGGTTTGGGATTTTCTTCTTCTTCAAGCTTTAGAACTTGGGTAAGTCTCTTTTCTTTTATGGCTTCAATTCCCTTGCTTTGATTTTAGTTAGTTCCTCATGTTTTGGTTCAAAGATTGAAAACCCTAGTTCTTCAAATTTGGGGAAAAATCCAAAATTTGCATTGGGTTTGATTGTTGGCCGAATTTAGGGACATGAATTCCCTCACTTTTGATTGCAACATTTTCCTAATTTCATGCGTACATATATGGCCGAAACTTGAGGGGGCTTTTGTGCAAATTTTGAGGCCGAAACTTGAGGGGGGTTATATGTAAAAGAGGGCTACAATTTGAGGGGGTTATGTGCAAATTTTTGGCTGAAATTTTGGAGGGCTTTTGTGCAAATTGGAGGGCTGAAATTTGTAGGGTTTTTTATGCAAATATATGGCTGAAATTTTGGGGGGTGTATGTGTAAATATGAAACTAAAATTTGAAGGGCTTTTATGCAAATATATGGCTGAAATTTTGGGGGGTGTATGTGTAAATTTGAAACTAAAATTTGAAGGGCTTTTATGCAAATATATGGCTGAAATTTTGGGGGTGTATGTGTAAATTTGGTCCAATGTGGTTTGAGGGGTTTATTTGCAAAAGAGCAACCCACAAAGTATATAGGGGGTTTATTTGCAAAAGGACTGGAATTTTAGGGCTAAAATTCCAAAAGTTTAGATCACAAACCTATGACCAAAGTTTTGATAAAAGCATGTGGAAACCAAACCGAAATTTGTGGAGGGTCTTTTTTTGGCAAAATTGGCTAAATTTTACAAAAGGGTTTATTCGCAAGATTAACCAAAATTGTGGGGTACTGGGGTGCTATGTGATCAGGTATGATGACCATGACCCAACTCGAGCGTGTCCTTGACCCGAATTTAGCCTTGAACACGAAGAGTATTTTGGGTATTTCATCAGAATTTACTGCGAAAATGACAATCATTGTTCCGCATGCACGAAATTTGTAGGTTTAATTAAAAATCCTATTTATACATAGGATTTTAATTAAAGTTCTTAATTTCCCTTTTAAATTTCGCGTATTCATACTTTAGATTGTATCTGACTTGCTGCTTTTCATTGCAGGTTTCCGATGCCTCCACGCCGATCTCGACTTCCTAGGAGTCGATCCCATTCGCAGCCTAGCGAGGAAGAAGTTCCCGCAGCATCCTCCCCTCCAGCGGTTTCCTTTTTTGGGGGTGGGAATTTTTTTATTTTTGTATCCCTGATCGATCCCTTCGCGGGTCATGAAGGAAGAACCGACACCCTCCTTCGCGGAGGTCGAGGTTTCGGACTTGGTGGTTCTGTTATACCCTCGTTTGGCCCCTTCGCGGGTCATTCGGGAAGGGCCGACACCCTCCTTCGCGGGGGTCGAGGTTTCGGACTTGGCGGTTTTGTCATACCCTCGTTTGGCCCCTTCGCGGGTCATTCGGGAAGGGCCGACACCCTCCTTCGCGGGGGTCGAGGTTTCGGACTTGGTGGTTTTGTCATACCCTCGTTTGGCCCCTTCGCGGGTCATTCGGGAAGGGCCGACACCCTCCTTCGCGAGGGTCGAGGTTTCGGACTTGCCTTGCTTGGCTAATTCAAGTCTTCTGGTATATTGGGGCGATTTTGTGTCGTCCTACACCTTATAGGTCGGTGTATGTTACCACGTTATTTACGTGATGATGCATACCGTTCTTCCAGTGTAGGACACTCAAAATCGTCTCTCCAATTATCCCGTGACTGATCTTATCTCGCTTTTTATGAGCTTTCTGACTCTATCCTTGTGTTTTGTTGCAGTCGAGTTCCCCGCGGGCAGCCTTCCTCCTCATGCTAATACTGGTTGTAGCCGGGAGGTCTTCTCTTCAGCTTTCATCAGGCAGGCCGTTAGTCCACTCCCTTAGTTTGACAGAGATCGCTCTGACGAATCCTGTCGTTTGATACGGGATGGAGGGCGTCATTGCTTACGCCAGCTGATTACGGACGCCTCCTTCACTGCAGATTCTACTTCCACTCAGGCTTTAAAGAAGCCCGGTTTTCTGTTCGGAGATCACATTGAGGATCCTGCTACATTGACTCTTATCAAGGAGCATTGGCTGACTCAGTGGCACGACCTGAGATCTTCCATCGGCAACGAGCTTCGATCACATGAGCATTCTGTTGCGCAGCTGATGGCTACCGTGGCGAGGAAGGATACAGGTAGAGCTGAGTTACTCAGCTCTTTGGATTCCGGCCGTGAGGAAGTGGCTAGATTGAAGGAGGCCTTGAGGCACGCCAAGGAGTCCGTTACTCTTATTGCAGAAGACCTGGCTGGATTAGAGCGTTCTCGTGAACAGACGCTCGAGAAGCTGAGATCTACACAAGAGAGATTGATGAATCTTAAGCAGTTTCGAAGACTCTGTCCGAGCTAGTCTGCAGGCAGAACTTGAGCAGAGCTATGTAGACAGGCTTTCTAGTTTAGAGTCCCATGTTCTTAGCCGTCAGTTGCCTTCGGGCTAACGAGCTTTTTATTATATGCTTTTGACTTGATCTATTACTAGAGACTCCGCATTTGCTTCTTTCATGATATTTCTTTATTTACTTTGAACCCAGCAATGATAAAATTTATAGGATTTTTGGCAAACCCCCAACCCTCAACGGGTTTGATATGCCTTTACCGATTACCGTTTGAATCGGGCTAACATGCGGATTGTCTAGATCCGTTCCATATGTAACGTTGTGCTAAGAGAATTGCTTTTCTTAGACTTAATGCTATGACTTTGAATACATAGACTTCACCATTTCTTATAGGGAAAAGGTACCCCGCACCACGTATTAGGCGATGACTTATCCCTTCTTAGGCTTCGGGATAAAATTCCCCAAGTTTAGACCTTGGTGTCTTTTTCAATCGGCGAAAGACTAAACCGGCAATGTGTGTTAGACATAGACTTTGGGATTTTTGGCAAACCCCCAGCCATCAACGGGTTTGATATGTCTTTACCGATTACCGTTTGAAATCGGACTAGCATGTGAATTATTAAACCCGTCTCACATGTAACGTTGTGCTAAGAAAATCGCTTTTCTTAGACTTGATGCTATGATTTTGAATACATAGACTTAACCATTTCTTATAGGGAAAAGGTACCCCGCACCGCGTATTAGGCGATGACTTATCCCTTCTTAGGTTTCGGGATAAAATTCCCCAGGTTTAGACCCTGGAGTCTTTTTCAATCGGCGAAAGATTAAACCGGCAATGTGTGTTAGACATAGACTTTGGGATTTTTGGCAAACCCCCAGCCTGACTGGAAAATGGAAGAGGAAGAATTTTATATTCTATCTCCCGGCACTGAAGAGGAAGAATTTTATATTCTATCTCCAGTTGGAAAGGAAACTCAAGGTGGGATCTCCACCCCCAGAATCCGAAGAGATGAAACTAAGAGTGGAATCTCCACTCCGAGAATCAGAAAGATTCAAATGACCCTAACTTTTATAGGATTGGTCATTCGATCCAAAAAGAGTCCCTCATTTATTGAGGAGAAAGCCCAATTTCGGCCCTAACTTTTATAGGTTTGGTGGAAAAAGGAAAAGATGGAAGTCTTTCGTTTATCGAAAAGGATAACTCAATCTTAGTCCTAACTATCTGCAGGTTTGACTAAGTAAAGTTGGAGACAATCCTAACTTTTATAGGTTTGATTGCTCAATTTAAAGTGGACCTCTCGTTCATGGAAGGAATCGAGAGGGGACTTTGGTTGTGGTCCTAACTATAGGAAGGTTTGACCAGGTAGACAGTGAGAGTGGGAGTACAAATCATAGTGGGGGTTTAGTGTTTATCACCTTGTTCGTAATTATCGGGTTATCCCTAAGAAAATTACATATAGCGTTTTTCTGGGAACTTCCCATTACATGCTCATCCACCCCCAGCTTTTTTGTGGCACTGGGTCCGACATTGTACTCAGTTATATGACCGGGTTATCCTTAAGAATATTACATATAAAAATTCTCCAAGAACTTCCCGTGAAAGAAATGAAGCAGTTTAGACTCATATACATGTTGGAGTATCAGGGAGCAGTTTAACCTCTTATACGACTCATATACATGTTGGAGTATCAGGGAGCAGTTTAACCTCTTATACCGGTCGGAGGATTGAGAAGCACTTTATACTCTTATACTTATCGGAGTGTTAAGAAGCAGTTTATACTCTTATACTTGTCGGAGTGTTAAGAAGCAGTTTATACAGTTTATACTCTTATACTTGTCGGAGTGTTAAGAAGCAGTTTATACTCTTATACTTGTCGGAGTGTTGCCATTCTTATTTGGCTTATCCTAACGTTATGACGCCGGCTTCAACCAAGGTCTGGATGCTATTCTTTAAAGTAAAGCAAACTTTGGATCCGTAGTATTTTCAGCTTCCTCCTGATTCGTGATGGGCGGGAGCTTGATTTTGTTGTTTTCGAGAAGAGACTCGAAGATGGCGGGAACGTCTTCGTCCTTGAACGAGTACTCTTTCTGGGCCTTTTGATCCGAAGTCTTCTACTGTCTTCGGGACTGCTGTTTTGACGTTTGATCAATAGCCGCTGCAGGTGCCTTGCCCCTATCACAAGAGGCGAAGTTCGAGTTCGGAGAATTAGCCATCGGTTGGCTCCTCTCGGCCTTCTTCCTTTTGAGGAATCGTTCGGCTTGCTCTCCTCGGGCCTTCAAATCCTTCCATGTCTTGAGCGGCTCTACTCCCATAACATCCAATATGTTAATGGATAAATTGTTATGACAAGTCTGCAAGATGAATTCCTCCGTGATGGAATCCTTGCAGTTCATTGCCTGATTGCGGAAGCGTTTGATGAAGGTATCCACCGACTCTCCGTCTTTTTGTTTCTCATCGAAGAGTGTCCTGATCGACACTTCAGCATCATCATCGAAGAAATGAGTGAGGAACATGCTCTCCAGGTCCTCCAAGCTGTTGATGCTTCCAAATTTAAGACGCCGATACCAATCGAAGGCAGGCTCGCGAAGAGTGCCGACGAATGACCGAACCATCAAGGCTTCATTGCCGGAGATCGTGCCCAAGTGGGACTTGAAGTAGATTAGATGCTGAGTGGGCGAGCCCTTCCCGTCGAACGGCGTGAAGTTGATCAGGTTGAACTTCGCTGGATACGGGATCGAGTCCCACTCTTTCGGGTAAGGACACGGAATGCCGGTCTTCTTTACCTCTTGAGCAGACATTAAAGCATTAATTTTGCTCTCCAAGTCCTTCATCTTCTTATCTTCACTCGTATCCGTCTTCGAGTGGCTTCGGGGAGAGGTAACGTGGTCCTCCTTCGCATTATCATATCGTTGTTGACAGGAGGGATATTTATGTTGACATTATTCTCTTCCCGTTCATTCTCATCTTGATTCTGATTATTGCGTCGACTGGGTTCTCCTTGGTGAATTGTCAGTGCCGCGATTTGCTGGTCATGCATCTCTCTCATTTGCTGCATGGCCATCTCCATCTCGAACTTGAAACTTTCCTTCTGCTTAGCCAGGGCATCTTCAAGCATCTTGGTTACTTGTTCGGCGCTGATCATGAGTGACTCGTAAGGTTGCCCCACACTAGACGCCGTGTCATCAGATGCTATAGCCGAGTAGGAGTCTGAACCAGCATCTGACGCCTCCTCTTCCAAAGGAAGTCCCTTTTGCATCCTTTGGTAATTCTTTCGCCTATTGATCCCTGACCGCAATCGAGTCATACGTCGGGATACTTCGGCAAGCTGATCTGGGCTAAAGTGTCGTGTCGATTTCTCTCTGCCGGTCATATTAGCAGACACTTCTAGGAATTCGTTCCCTTGGCGAACAGGCTTCTTCCTACGGAAATGCCTTGGCTTGGTCTCGGACGTTCCGATAGAAATTCTTTCGAACACCGAAACTCTCCTTGGGGCTTTAGTACAGCAGCATTCTGACAGCACCGCCTTGATTATGTTGGTACACGGACAGTGGGATTCCGTGTTTCGAGTATCTCTCTTTCGAGACTTACCCACACCCCCAGCTCTATAGTACAACTCATCAGTTTGATAACTGGAGCAACCCATAGAGTGTTGGCATGACCTCCCAGGTATAACACCATCATCATCAGACGAATGTGTTTTCCTATGGGGATATGACTCTTTATTAGTGTTTTCAGAAGTCGCTCGTTCAAGTCTATGCTTTTGCGAGCGTGAAAACTTAACGGGCTCTTGAACTTCGACACGCAATCCAATGCGGTCGGTAACAGGGGCTTTCCCTTTGTTATCTTTCTTGGGGGGATTAGCACGACCCCTAGTCGGGTTTGTTGTTTGGGGACTTTTCAACGGTCCCAATCGTTCCTTGACAGGTGCTTTACCTCGGTTCTCCGGTAAAGGACCGAGGTGTTCTTGCCTAACTCCGTAGGAGGTGGGGAAACGGGATCTGGATTTGAAGAAGTTTGGGTGATAACTCCACCCACTTTTGTCTTAGGTGCCGGTTTTGACTTTGGTACCCAAACCCATTTATGTGTAGACGGTTTCTTGACCGCCTCTTCTTTCTGCATCTCTTCCGCTTTCTGTAGAAGGATTCGGGCATGCACTAGCAATGCGCGGCGTTTCTTGATTTGCTCTTCGAGAGTGGAGCGGGTCTTCTTAACGCGGACCCATTCGTTTGTCTCCGCCTTAGAGGAGAGGCTGTCGGTTCGCCGTTGTTGTTCTTGGCGCTGCCTTGATTTCAGGTCCTCATTATAGTGGATCCCATCCATCGATTCTGCGGCTTTGGCTAATTGTCGTGCAAGGCGTTGTCGCCGTCTTTGACGCGCTCTCTTCGACAAAGTTGGAGCAACTTCAGCAGTCGCCTTTGTGGCGGAAGGGAGATCTGGATC